GTGGGGCAGGGATCTCTAGCAGGAGGGTCTCTGCCGACTGAAGTCACTAGTAACAGGATTGGGGACTTCAGCAGCAGAGTCCAGGGAAGGGGTAGGGACGGTTTTATGGCCTGCAGCATGCAGGGGGTAAGACCAGATGATCATAATGGTCCCTTCTGACCTTAACGTCTATGAGTCTATGAGTCTATGCCAGCGACCTGCGTTGCTGCATATATTTGAGTACAAGCTGGTGTAAGTGAAGAATATTGTGAAAAAGATCAAGATACATGAACAAGTTAGCACTACGATAAAACTCATGAAGATACAAATATTGGCATGTTGCAACTGATGAAATTTTAGTCCAATGCTAATTGAAGGAAGATAGATCAGAAAATATGGTACGTTACTATGATGATTACATTTCTTTAACTAAACTTAATCATCATATATTCCTTTCTGAAGAGTTCTCAGTGAAGGCTATTAGTGCTTGTTTACCTTTACATGGAGATTAGTTATAGGACCATTGTCAGCACTTAAGGCAAACCATTCACGGTACATTAAGGGAGAACCAATTAGAGTGAAACCATCTCCAGTATTATTACATGAACTAATTAGAGAGTGAGAGAGAGAGAGAGAACACCAGTAACAATATGAACTGTAAATTTGTACTCTCAACTTCGAAGAAAAGCAATTAGAAGACACATCCATTTTTGTCAAGAACCAAAACACACATTTTAACGACATACCATCTACACTGACAACCCGTTTGGATATTTTTTAACCATTCTGTTTGCGGGTAATTAGACCATCAGCATTCACTTTTCTGCTGTCTCATTTGAACTAAGCAGAAGTTGGGAAATTATTTTTCAAATATCTCTTTATATAAACACTTTCAAGACTAAATCTAAAAGTCAGGATTTTCCAAAGTGAGCAAGTGATTCTTGCTGTCTAACATGACATCCCTTAAAGTAGCCTGAATTTTCAGAAAGTGGTAAGCACGCCCACCATCTGAAAATCAGGCTCTTTCAGAGTGCCTTGGTTCAGCACCCAAAAAATAGAGGTACCCAAATCACTAGTCATTTCTGAAAATCTTGGCCCACAGTGGGCAACCAAAAGTCAAATTCTGCCATCACCGACATGGGCAGAGGATAAAAGTTGGCTCTTTAGCTTTAGCAAGTGCTTACCTTCCCACTGGCCAGTCAGCACAAGGGTTCTGTTAATTACAATGTCAATCTCTCTGGCACCATCTTCCACTGCTATCCTAATCTCTTCTAATCGGTTTTTCAGTGAAGTCTGTGCAGCTGGAAACCCAGTTGCCACTATGAAGAATGGGAAAAATAAAGTTGTGAAGTAAGCAAAGACTTTTATATAAATATAATTGTTATTAAGGCAGATTGGGGGTATAAAAAGTTAAGGTTTTTTTCTTTTTTCCCCCTGAAAGGGAAGTTACTCTAGAGCGACAGTAAAGACTCAAAGACCTAGAAGGCACCTAATTCATCCCCCACCTCATTTACAAGAACATTAATTCTTCCCTTGAGTTCCTTAATCAGTGCTTTGCTCAGTTTTAAATGTCTCCTTCAAATTGATTTCTCCCACTTTCCTTACAGCTATTTCCAGTTCAGCCTGGCTAATACATATAAGTCCATTGCCTTCAATAGAATTCTGCCTGCATACACAAGCTCTGAATTTGTCCTAATGTGTGAAATCATCTTCAATGTGTATGTTCTTTAGTCCTCCCAAATTCTTGTAAAAGGTATTTGAAAATAAGTGCAACTAATATGGGCAAGTAATAGTCACAATATAGGTAAAGTTGAATGCAATCATACCCTATTCAACAGTCATTTGAATTTTTGTACTTAAACAATATAAAGATAACTTGGAAAGGAAAAAAATTATCCTTGTTCCACTCCCTCCCCCTCTCTCCCCTTCTGATGTATAAAGAGAATCTGGAAAAGTTCTCTTTCCCCCCTGCAAACACAAACATGTTTTTGTGGTGCTTTTCAATCCTAAATTCCACATTGTCTCCCTTCTGTGGTGCCTGAAGAATTAGAGAGATGATGACATCACAAAGAGTCAAGATGAAGGTATTTTTACAGGGATGGACTCTTGCACCTGCACAGAGCTTTGCTGACTTCAATGGGGTGGAAGGATCCACCTGCATGCAACCTAAAAGCTGAGCTATTAAGCAAGGAAGGGTTTTGATTTGTTGATGTTAACAGCTATTCAGCTTTAACGACTAATTCCCCTTGGGAGAAAAAATGTCTGTGTAAAGATTCATTATCCCTACCCCTTCAGTTCAGGTATGAGATCAACATACACACCTCAAAGACCCCCCAGGAGATCCTCCTCCAGCAAAACTTAGACTTGACAACTAAAAACTTGACATTCCAGATACTTATTAGTGAAAAACAAGGAGGACTCCCCCCCCCCCCCGGCAAAAATACAACCAACAAAAAAAAACCCACCACCTTTTCAGGTATTCTTCACCCATTCTATAAAAGCAAAAAGGGCACAAGCCCACCAGGAAAATAATCTTTTAAATAATACTTGTAAAGAAAAGAAACTTACCTGAAGCTACTGGTATGTTACAACCAGCAGCCTTGAGTGCTTTAACAGCATCAGCTACTCTAGCTGGATACACACAGACAGCTGCTGTAGTAATACCTGCAAAAAGTACAATCCACTGTTTCACCTGTATATTTCTATGTAATGTGCATTGGCTTCTAGTCCACACTATGGCCTTGTGTGCACTAGATTTGTTTTTTTAAATCTCCTACTCTTGCACAACCACCAACTGCTCTCCGCTGGCTGTAGCAACCGTGGGAGTTTTAATGGCAGCAAGGCTCAGGTGGCCACTGGTAGAGCTGCCACCATGTCCATTAGCCCTGCCCTGAGAACACTAAGGCTGCATCAATTGTAGCTCAATCGCAGACACAGTTTAAGGCTGGAGTTCTTTATACGCCAGTTTCAGATCAGTTTGCTCTGGGATTTATGATGTAAGAAACTATGCTATCAGAGTATTGTACCTAGGGGCCTATAGCGCAGTTTGACTAGCATGGAATACCGTTTGTGTTAGCACAGTTTCACTATGTTTCTATTTCAGATTTTATTCTCACAGATTAAGGAACTTGGACTGATATTTAATAGTTTTTAAAAAAAAATGTATAAAGGTTTAGAAAGAATTCATAAATCAGAGTTTAAAAAGGGATTGGGTCTTTCTTATTTCATGACTATGGCTAACAATCCAGGGCCTGGTTCACCATTATGTTACTCTAGTTTTACACCACACACCTCTGTTGAAAACAATGAGGTTATGTCTGTGTAAAACTTACCATTGCAATTTGTCAATCAGGCTCCAAGAGTTTATACAATATTGGTGGGTTTGATTTTTGTTTGAATGTTGTAGTTCAAACAAAGCACCAAAATCATGTGGCATTTTAAAACAGTCTCCTGCATCTGACACATCAGTGATATAAATACTTCTGAGAAGTTACGTTGTGCAGTGCTGAATATTGTATGAAAATATGCCATTTTACGGCTATCATTTAATAGAAACTCTGTAGGGCCACATCAATGCCTTAACAATTCCATTCCAATCAGTATTGGGTGTAACATTTAGACTTATATTGAGGGCCCAGTTCTGCAAGATACTTTGGAAATGCCTATGCCATAGCAGGGAGGTGTGATTCCCAGTGCAGGTAGACAGACTTGTGCTAGCTCTGCTCAAGCTAGTGTGCTAAAAGGAGTAGCATGGAAGTTGTTGCAAGGGTGGTGGCTCAGCTAGCTGCCTAAGCTTGGACCCAAGGAGTCAGGTGGACTTGGACTTGGGCAGCTAGCCTGAGCCACTACTCGGGCAGTAATGTCCACACTACTATTTTTAACGCACTCTCTCTACTTGAGCTAGAGCAAGTCTGTCTGCCCACACTAGGAATCATGTCTCCCAGCTGCAGTGTAGACACACCCTTAGGGTCAAATCCTGACCCCAATGAAATCTCTATTAGTAAACAGAACTAGTTGCTATTTTGATCCCTTTCTTAGTTACTGACAGTAACTGGGTGGCAAAGACAATTCTGAGGAGAGATTAAAAAGCCAAATTTTTCAACACACAGCACGTGTCTGTATCTAATTGTCTGCACAAAGGCAAAGAGCAAGATCCTGGAGCTACACAGAAAAACCTCAGCCAGGATTATGACCCAAAACATTTACAGATACTAAAAAAAAAGCCCAAAGGTTTATTGGGGGGTATCATGTGCATTTAATGCAAATAGATGTAGTGGCACCTTACCGTCCAGTTATTAAAAGAGAGAGGTGGGTTTTTTTTTAAATATATTTCATAGTTTTATTCTCTTAATGGTTTCCATGTCAAATACTGTAGTGTATTCTATAAGTGCCCTGTGACGTTACAGCCTATATGATTTTATAAAAATATGCTAATGAGTGAATATAATGTAACTGGAATATGCTTCATGCAAAAGGTCTCTTGTAAGGTATCATTACAAAGCTTATTGTCTACTGAGTGTGGTCATCCTATTTGTATAAAGGTATCACTCTTATATTTCATATTTCTAGTTTCAGATACAACTCTGAGGGCCTATTGTAATTATGCAAAGTGTGGGCCATTAATGGTGGTTTGGAATCTTAATGGCTCCCATCAACCAGGACAATTGACTGGATGGCTCTGTTTGCAGGCAAGCCTTCCTGTGAGTCAGGCTGGGAGGAATGAAGGCTTGGGGTTTTACAGTGACATGTGATCATGTCACATGAACTGGAATCCATCTTTAACCTGGTGCTTTTCCAGTGAAAGGGGCGGGGGGTGGAAACATAGAGAGAGACAAAGGGTTCCCGCCTTATGCAAAAGATATATAAAGGGGTGGAACAGAACAAAGGAAAAAGGAGCCATCATGAAGAATCCCCTAACTACCACCTGAGCTGGAACAAGAGCTGTACCAGGGGAAAGAATTGTGCCCAGGCCTGCAAGGTGTCCAGCCTGAGGAAAAAACTTACTGAAGCATCTCTGAGGGTGAGATTATCTGTATTCAGTTTGATTAGACATAGATTTGCGCATTTTATTTTATTTTACTTGGTGACTTACTTTGTTCTGTCTGTCACTACTTGGAACCACTTAAATTCTACTTTCTGTATTTAATAAAATCACTTTTTCCTTATTAATTAACCCAGAGTATGTATTAATACCTGGGGGAGCAAACAACTGTGCATCTCTCTCTATCCGTGTTATAGAGGGCGAACAATTTATGAGTTTACCCTGCATAAGCTTTATACAGGGTAAAACAAATTTATTTGGGTTTACACCCCATTGGGAGTTGGGCATCTGAGTGCTAAAGACAAGCACACTTCTGTTACCTGCTTTCAGGTAAACCTGCAGCTTTGAGGCAAGTAATTCAGACCCTGGGTCTTTGTTGGAGCAGACGGGAGTGTCCGGCTCAGCAAGACAGGGTGCTGGGGTCCCAAGCTGGCAGGGAAAGCAGGGCTAGAAGTAGTCTTGGCACATCGGGTGGCAGCTCCCAAGGGGGTTTCTGTGATCCAACCCGTCACATGCCCCTATTGCAATCTCGATCTGGGACTGTAAATTAAGGTGAGGCTTTTTCCTGCACATCTTACATCATAACTAGGGATAAAGACTTTGCAATCAGAACTTATATTACCATTTCTTTGAATCAGACTGTCTAGGATCCAGTTCAGTCTTCCAGGGCTGTTTAGCTGTGCAATACTAGCTCTAACATCAGTAATGTTCAGGCAGTAGAAGTTGAAAAAGAAGATGTCAAGTTTATGTTCTGCCCATAACCAGTTTTATAAAGCCAAAGCTTGCAAGTAATGTAACCAAAACCATCATACCTTTATCATGCATATTCATGGCTCTCAAAAGATCCTCTCTGATTGGATGTTTGGCTTTGTAACAAAGCCTGTGAATGTTTGAAGGGGTGTCATCACCTGAGAGGGTGGTGAGGTCTATGCAGGTGACAGCTCTCAGTAGCCAAGCAGCCTTTATTAGGGAAAAAAGTAATACATAAAAAAATGGATTAAATTTTTTAATGTGGCCTAACCCAGATGATTTAGGAGACTAAGCCCATCTCAAAAGCGAGTCACTTAGGCACCTAAGTTTCATTGACAATCAATGGTGCTTTTGAAAATGTTACCCAATGTCTAAAAATCAGCTATTATATAGTCAAAGGACCAAATTCCGATTTATGGCACATGGATCAAAGGCTGAATAATGAGCAGGAATCCTGGCATATTATTCCACCAGGATCCTAAAACAATGATGCTTGTATCTGGGCAACGCACTGGAGGAAGGATGCAACCTCTCCCCAACAGAGTTGTCCACGTTCCTGTAACATGCTAAGTCTGCCTCATGCAGAGCTAGTCTGCATAGAAAGCATACACACTCTTCAGCAGGCGCATGAATTGTAAGTGCAAGTCACCTGAACGCACACAAGTCAGGAATATGCATGCTGCCATTACATTTTACAATCCTAATCTGTGCATATGCATCAGGGTGAAATCCTGGTTCCACTGAAGTAAATGGACATTTTGCCAGTTACTTCAATGGAGCCAGGATTTCACCCTAGGTGTCTTACATATGTTTTAATATTTGGGTCCAAAACTCTAGGTGTCTCAGTTTAACTGTCTGTAAAATGGGAACAATAATATTTACCCATCTTCCTGCAAAAAAAAGTTGAGAGAATTGACTAACATTGCTAAAGCATTTCAGTATCCTTGGACGAAAGATGCTACAGAACTTCAAAAATTATTTTTAACTGTGATTGGGTTTTTTTTTTCTTCAGAAAGTTAGCTTTTTACATCAACTAGGTTTTTTTATAACCTGGTTTAAATTAAAACAAAAATTGTTTTCCAAAAAGAAGGGAATATTTAATCAGCTGCTAAGAAAGGGATTCTAGTCTCATCCCTTAGGAAATGAGTTGTGAAGACAGATGTAGTAAACTGCTTCCAAGAAATGGTGTGAACTTTATTTGTTTTAAAATAGGATTTTGGCTTTATATATCATACACACCCACACCCACACGTACGTGGATATGGACTTGAGCCACAAAGTTCGGATGTGGAATATTATCTACATCTGAACTTTCCCCAAAGTTCAGGGTTTTAAGAGTTAAGGATCACATTCAGATCCATCTCTATTTGTTAGACAGCACATGGATATTCTGCTACATCTGCACTTGGGTAGATGAAAAAAGATGTTTATGAAAACAACCCTTTGGTGTTCTTTAAAGAAACACTCAATTATTTAGCTCAACAGTCATGTTACTACATAAATACAGAGCTGAAAGGTACCAGGGGCAACAATGCCTCTGTCTTGCAGACACATTAAGGGGATATCAACACCAGAGTAAATCACCACCCCAAGTGATTATATCTATGCAATCCAAGGAGCTGATTCTTCACTTCATTGCACCTTATGTGAATATGTGGTAATTTACAGCAAATCATAATGCTCCTCATAGATTTTAAGGCCAGAAGGGACCATCCTGATCATCTAGTCTGACCTCCTGCACATTGCAGACCACAGAACCTCACCCAGCCACTCCTATAATAGACCCATAACCTCTGTCTGAGTTACTGATGTCCTCAAATCATTATTTAAAGAGCTCAAATTACAGAGTATTCACCATTTACGCTAATTAAAACATGCAAGTGACCCGTGCACCATGCTGCAGAAGAAGACAAAAAATCCCATGGTCTCTGCCAATCTGACCCAGGGAGAAATTCCTTCCCGACCCCAAATATGGTGATCAGTTAGATCCTGAGCATGTGGGCAAGACCCACCAGCCAGACACCTGGGAAAGAATTCTCTGTAGTAACTCAGAACCCTCCCCATCTAGTGTCCCACCGCCAGCCGTTGGAGATATTTGCTGCTGGCAGCGCAGATCAGCTACATGCTATTGTAGGCAGTCTCCTCGTACTATCCCCTCCATAAACTTATCAAGCTCAGTCTTGAAGTTAGTTAGGTATTTTTTTGTCTCCACTGCTCCCCTTTGGACACTGTTCCAGAACTTCACTCCTCTGATGGTTCGAAACCTTACTCTAATTTCGAGCCTAAACTTGCTGATGGCCAACTTATATCCATTTATTCTTCTGACAACTTTGGTGCTCTCCCTCCCTGGTATTTTGCTCTCTATAAACACATGAGAGGGATATCATATTTCCCCTCAGCCTTCTTTTGGTTAGGCTAAACAAGTCAAGATTTTTGAGTCTCCTCTCATAAGGTAGGTTTTCCATTCCTCAGATCATCCTAGTAGCCCTTTTTTGCACCTGTTCCAGTCTGAATTAATCTTTCTTAAAGATGGGAGACCAGAACTGCACAGAGTATTCCAGATGAGGCCTCACCAATGCTTTGTATAATGTTACTAACACTTCTCTATCTCTACTGGAAATACTTCGCCTGATGCATACTAAGACTGCATTAGCTTTTTTTCTTGGCTGCATCACACTGGCGGCTCATAGTCATCCTGTGGTCAACCAATCCACCCAGGTCTTTCTCCTCCTCAGTCTCTTCCAACTGACAAGTCCCCAGCTCAGAGGAAAAATTCTTGTTAGTCAATCCCTAAGCGCATAACCTTCCATGTTGCACTATTAAAATTTCATCCCATTTCTATTGTGACATTGCACCCCATATTCTTCATAGTTGTATGATTATGATATAATTATGATGCATTTTGGACAAGATGGGTCATGTAAGGGGTCATTGGAAAAGTTATGATTTGCTGAATATGATTATCTTATTTGTATGCATGTATCATTTTTGTATCTGAAGTTATGAATATTGGCTATGTATCTGTATTTCACGGGTAGTCACACCTGGGTGACACACCCACTAGGCAAAATGCTTCCAAGTCTAGATAGTCAAGTGTGAAGGGCCTATTCAAGGTAATGGGCCATTAGGAAAAACAATAGGCCTTAGGAGATGCTTATCCCCCACCTGGTCAGCCTTCCTGAGAATGCTGCAGACAGCTTGTAAGTCATGGCTGCTATGACACAGCAAGGGCATGTGGCCAGGCCACATGACATGGAACTCCATCTTGCATACCAGTGTTTTACCACAAACTGAGTTTGGTACAAAGGGTTCCCGCCCTGTGCTAAAGCTATATAAGTCAGGGAGTGACATCATCTGTTGTTCTTCACTCCCCCACAACTGAACACCTAAGAGACACTCCTAAAGAAAAGGACTTGGAACAGGGGTGGGGATCCCAAGCTGCAAAGCAAATGCAGTTGTCCCTTAAGAATCTGCAAGCTTGTTATCATCAGTCAGGGTGAGAAACTGCTAATTCATATCCAGTCTATCTAGTATGTTAAGCGTAGTTTGCGGTTTTGTTTATTTGCTAGGTAATCTGCTTTGATCTGTTTGCTATCCCTTATAATCACTTAAAATCTATCTTTCTGTAGTTAAACTTATTTTATGTTTTAATCTAAACCAGTAAATTTGGCGTGAAGTTCTTGGGAATCTTAGCTCAAGGGGCAGGGGCTGTTGCATTGCCTCTCCACACTGAGGGAGAGGCAAACTCTATGAGCTTATGCTGTACAGTTCCCTGTGCAGTGCAAGATGGCATAATTTTGTGTTTATACTCCAGTGCGGGTATGTGTGCCTGGGGAGCTGGAGGTTATCTTGACTGTAGCCTCTCTATTGTTGGTTCATGCAGTGGCTGGTCAGAGAGCCTGCATGTAACTGCAGCTGGATGTGTCCCTGCCTGTGTGAATGCTGGTGGAAGTGTACGACCGGGAGCAGGTCTGCAGCTTGTCACAGCAGCACAGTGTGAAAGGGAGCCCAGACTGGTGAGTCAGAGGGCTCAGTTGTACCCAGTTCCAGGTGGCACCCTGGGGGGAACCTGTCACATCTGTTACTCCAGTTTTCAAAGTCATCCAGATCTTCTTATATGATATTCCAGTCCTCCTCCAGATTGGCAAAACTGTACCTCCCAACTTTGTGTCATCTGCAAATTTTATTAGCCCACTCCCCCTTTTTGTACCAAGGTCATTAGTAAAAATGTTAAATAAGATTGGTCCCAATACTGATCCCTACGGAACTCCACTAATAACCTTCCTCCAGCCTGACAGATCACCATTCAATATGAGCTGTTGCAGTCTCCCCTTTAACCAGTTCCTTATCCATCTTTCAATTCTCATATTAATCCCCATCTTCTCTAATTTAACTAATAATTTCCCACGTGAAATTGTATCAGATGCCTTACTGAAATCCAGCCATCAAGGTACGGGTAGATTTGGATACCCCGGCGACTGAGGTAAGCCACTACCACCAACGTGCATTTAGTAAACCCCCTCGGTGCTGTTGCCAGGCCAAATGGGAGGATCGTAAACTGGTAGTGGTGGGGCCCCACTGTAAACCAGAGGAAGTGTCTGTGTCCTTGAAAAATCACTATGTGGAAGTATGCGTCCTTCAAGTTGAGGGCGGCATACTAGTTTCCCAAATCCAGGGAGGGGATAATGGAAGCCAGAGAGACCATGCGGAACTTTACTTGTTGAGGTCTCGCAGGTCCAGGATGGGCCATATACCATCCTTGGCCTTTGGGATTAAAAGTACCAGGAATAAACCGCCTCCCCCTCGTTCCTGTACTCTAGAGGAACTTTTTCCACCACATCCAGCTGTAGTAACCTCTTTACCTCCTGCACGAGGAGAGACTCTCATGAGAGGGGTACCTGAAGAGGGACGGGGAAGGGGGGCGGGAAGGGGGGGGGGAAAAGAGTATAAAGGCACTGGAGGGTATAACCCCTTTCCACTGTGCTGAGGACCCAGAGGTCCGAAGTTATAGCGGTCCAAGCCAGGAGGAAAGGGGAAAGGTGGTCAGATAACACTGGGAAAGATGGATCCAGGGAATAGTCTGGTAGGTCGCTCTCGGGCGCGCCCTCAAAACAACTGTTTGGCCCCCTGCTTACAGGTTGAGCCCAACTGGGCAGAGGGTGGAGGTGGGTGGCTCGGGCGGTGCTTGTAACCCTTGGCTCGTTTATGGG